AGAGAATGTGTATATATAACGTACATCGTACTGCTTGCTCTGCAAATCCGATTGAGGGAAACAGACGTAAAACCGTAATTTTTCTCCCCCACGTGGATAAAGACACGGTTATGCAGTAGCACAGCCGGGAGAGAAATGCAGCTCCCAGGTGAAGCTGCGCTCCTGCAGAGCATGAGGTGAAGTTTGGACTCCAGGAAGGCACAGACATGCCTGGCTCTGCCTCTGTACCTCTTGGTAAACATAAAATCATTGACTCAGAAACATTCAGGTTGGAAAAGACCCTTGGGATCATCCAGTCCAACCTATAACCCTGCTCTACAGAGTCCACGCCTACACCATATCCCCCAACACGACCTCCAGGGAAGGTGACTCAACCTGCCTGCCTACTCTTGCTGTGAACATTTTTTTTCTAATATCCAGCCTAAATCTAGGCTGTTGCAGCTAACATAGGCAGTATGTACCCATTCTCAAAGAGCTTTAAACCTCCACATTACCAATTCAGTTACAAAATAGCATTTTGTTTTGTCTGCAGCCTGCTTTAGGTGATCCTGCTCTGGCAGGGGCTTGGACTAGATGATCTCCAGAGATCCCTTCCAACTCCTAATATCTTCTGATTCAGTGATTTTGTAACATCATTTCTGATTACACCAACTGTAAAGTCTCTAGGAAAACTTGACAGAAGTGAAGTTGTCACGCTGACAAGCACTGTGTAGTGATTTCAGACTCACAGAAACCTGATGCGAGGGAGATCAAATCTGTCTTAGGTGTAGCCAGTTTCAGTTCCTCAACACATTAAAAAAACTCAACTCATTTGTTCTTAGTCCAGAAAGTATTGAAAATGCTCTTCTTGTGGAACTGCTGAATTTCATCGGCCTGTACACTGAGGCACAATCCCAGAATAGAAAATCATCACAAGCTCAGCAAAATTCTCAAACCCCTGATGTTAATAATTAATCCTAAAAAAAATGTAGAACTGTGCAAAAGAAAAAAAAATCTAGCACCTGAATCAGGAAAGCAGAGTAAACATTCCTTGTCTATTAAAATTACATGTTGAAAACCTTTTTTTAAAAAAAAAGGTAACAAGTTGGGGATTATTTCTGTTTTGTTAGGAAGTGGTTTTGGCAGTTATTAGTCAGAAACAAATCACATTTCTATAGAATTTAGTAAGAGGCAAGGTGCTCATTTCCTGTAGTGAAAAGTATGATAACATAACCTGTTGAAATGAATGACAAAGCAAAAGATGCTGTGTCAGGGGAAAATTTTTAAAAAAATCTTCTTTTATAAATAGAAAAAAGCAAAAGTCACGTATAGTTAACAAGGGGATAAGAAGGCTACATTCAGAATTCAAGCTGCAAAGTATAAAGCAACATCAGGTGCGGTATATGGACATAAAGGAGGTTTAACATTACAATCAAATTAATCCCTTGAATCGCATTTCCTTAACAGTTCAGCAAAACTCACTGATGTTATAACGACACAATGAATTTGAGCCGTACTCTTGCCAGAGAAGCGCATTTACACTCCATTTCTCAAACTGGATCTCCACAGGTAGAAAGAGCTAACCCTCTTCTGCGCAGTCACAGCTTATATTTTGGCATGTGTCATGGTTGGTTATGTAGACCAAGGTTTTATGTAAAATCCAAATGGCTGTGGTGTTGCCGCTGCTCATGTATTGGGCACCTGAGTTCGCAAGCTATTCATTTCCCTTACAGGAAGCGTTTAAGTTTGTTGAGGTTTTTACCCTTAACCCACCATTTTCAACGCTATACAGGCAAGACTATGCTTATGCGCTATAAGCACTTCAGAATTTGGATGTTAAAATTGAATTTTTAATAAGTTCCATCATGCATATCATGGAATACAGATTATTATTGCATGTAAGATTGGAAAACAGCATTTCTATATGTGTGTGAAACTCACACTGATTGAATTCATAAGGCAAGAATATTTAATCTAGGTAAACTGAGAACTACAGGGAGTACTCCAAACAGCAAAGATTTTATCATATTACTACCTTTCAATAAAGCAAGTTAGGTTGTTGAAAAGATGCCTTGCAACCATTGGGGGACAAAATTCCTTGGGAGAACAAATGCAATGGTTTATAGTCTTGAGAAGAGACCTTCAATCTGTGCTGCTTCTGCTTTCTAAGTGTTTATATCTAGGCACGGTATCTCACATTACCTGTTTGCATTTACACATATGTCTTGCTTTATACTGAAGGTTACTGTCAGGGTTTAGGGGTCGGGGCTGAGAGGTGGCCTATGCAGTTGGTTTCTGTGATACTTGTTTAGTGGGTGGGATTTTTGGTCGTGTGGTATTTTCCAATTAACCATTATCTCCTGCCAAGATTCCACTGGCAGATGTGTTGTTCTCACATTCTTCTTCTCCACTCTTATCTCAGTGCAAGGTTGTTTTCACTGTAGACCCTCTAGTTCATGAGAAACCCTGACAATAGATTGTGGTTTCTTTGGCAGAGGAAGAGGCTTGGTTTGGTAATAACCAGGCGAACACCAACCATTTCAAAAGTTAGGCTGTGACAGAATGAGGTTTCTGCTCTGTTTGCCTTTTGATACATTTCTATAGCCAAGTAAAGCTGCTTTTATATTCCCCTTGTGGCACCATCAATACTTTCTTTTTCTTCGCTTAGAGTCGTTTGACTACATTTGTGATATCTAAGTATAAATGCTACATAGTAGTTGCACCTGAATACTTCTACGTTCCTGACAAGGTTTTTATTTAGTCTTCTATGCACCCATGAGGGACAAGTAACCCAATTAAATCCTACTGTATTGTCATTAATATCTAGGGAAAAAAAGTAATTATTCTATATTCTTTGAATGACCACGTAGTGATGATAAATAACTGCCTGAATGTTTCCCTTTCTCTCTCCTCCTAGTACTTCAATAACATCTGCCAAAATCCAAGTGAATGGAGTCCACCTGCATTACCAGCAGACAGGAGAAGGAAGCCACGCAGTTCTTCTGCTTCCCGGAATGCTAGGTCTGAAGATTTTTGTCTTATCTTTATAGAGCAACCACCTCTTTCACCATCAGGTCTCAAGCTAGCTATTTTGAAATACCTTTCACCACCCAATTATGGACCATTATCGTTTTAAAAATTGCTACACATACAGCAGATAGGAAAAGGCTAACTAACTGCAATCAGTTAACAGTTTTTAAAGATTTCATTTATCTCACCAGACCGCTTTTACACAATGTCTTGACTCGTGTCACTCACGTTTTGGATTTAACCGTGCAAAGAGGGTGTCCAGCACAGGTGGCAAAATAACAGGTGCAAAATAACAAGGGAGGGAAAAAATCAGGTCAGCTGTATTTGTTATGCAGACTGAATTTTGCATTCCTGTTTAGAAACTAGGTGCCTTCCAACTGAATTCATAGACATGATGCAGCAGTTTATTATCATTGTGAAAAAGGCTCAAGTTGAGACTTGCTGTTTGCTTAAAAATGTATTTTCATGTTTTGGTTATTCAGGACAACATCATTAAAATTCTCAGAGGCTTTTTGAGATGGACAACAGGTTCTGCTAGCTAAGTGGCATCTGTCCATCAAGACCACTGATTTTGATAACAACCTTTTCAAAATCAGCACAGGTGCTTTTTGTTTCCTGGGTTCTTGCAGTTGTAAAGAACAAATCGGACTTACTAGCATGTGATAGCAGGCTGTCAGTAGGACCATTGCTGTGCTCGGAGTTGGGCTCATGCTTAACTGAATTGCTGGATCAAGATGATAGAATGTCAAGAACTGAAGCACAGGAAACATTTGTTCCTTTCGTCCGCCACATTTTCAAGTCTTCCTGAAGTGGTTCTTTCTTTCAAAGGATTCTTGAAGGGAGAGTGGAAAAAACCTAATGCTAGGGGTGCTTTAGTAGTCATGTTTTAACCTTTTCGTTTTTTAACAGCTTTTAAATGAGTAATCCTGTTGCCAGTTTCTTTAAATAGAAATAATGTATTTCTTCAGTTGTTGGTAATAATGTTATTATTATTACTAGGTCTACGTTGCTATTCTTCAGTTAACAGTATTACAAATGGTGATAGTTTGGCTTAATATCTTTACCATTATTAACTTTATGGTTTAATATTTGTGGGCAACATGTGGGAGTGAGCTTTACATTCTGACTCTCACATACTTCTTGCCTTTGTACCGATACTAAGTGTTCAACATTACTGTATACTACTTTAGGTATTAACAGACTAGTAAGTGTGGCAACCAGATAAGTGCTTTTAGCTCAACAGAGTTAATTAGTCTCTATTTGTAAAGTACTTTAAAATAAAAGTGATGTTTCTCTTTCTTTTTAGAAAAGTACTGAGAAAACACAGCATCCAGATATGCAGCCTTGTGGGTATTTTTTTAAGTTACAAAAAATACAGTATCACAAGCACATGCGTGATAGTGCAGAAATTCATACAAAGCCTATGCAAGAATACATGATTAATATTAATTAGGTTGCGCTGGTATTTTTCAAGCAACCTGGTATTTCTCTTCTGACTAGCTATTAGTTGGTGTTGCAAGAGACAAGAGATCATGTCAGGTTATAGTCAACTCATCGTGGCATGCCCTGTACAGCTTCTTTTATCATTTAAACCAGCTGATGGTATAGAAGGAGGTATCCGACCTCATATCTCTCCAAGTAAACAGAAAAAAATTCTTAAATGCCCTTAAACAGCCTCTTAAATATAACAATAGACAATTTGATATTCGATTTATGCCATTTGAATATATTAGTTCTGAACAGGCTTTAATCAAGTAGCACGTGATACTGTTCCCACATGACCGTAATACAAATAAGAAATAAATTCCAGTCTTACCTTCACGCTAGCGTTCATAGATAGCTTAGTGTGATAGACTGGAGCACTTCACTTCTTAATCCTTTAAAAGCTTGAGCCACCAATAAAAGAAACTGTTCTGCATCAGAAAAATGTCGGGATTTGGCTCATTTTATATTAGAAAAGTAAAAGTTACAGTTTTAGGCTTTTGTGTCCCCACTGTCTCCTCAGGTAACAAAGTATTTGAAGCTCAGCTTTAATCACCAGTATTCTCACAGAAGTGTTTTATTGAATAAGAACCATCTCACACGGTGCTTTTTACCTACAAATGTGTAGCCAGAGTCAGTGTATTCCTCCCCCTTCAGTTTCACCTGTGCTGTCCATCAACAGTCACACTAGTGCTTTAAAACTGTTAAAGATAAATCCCTACTCAGGTAACTCAGTTCAAGATGCTGTATTAAAATATGTGCATAGAGCACACTTCTTTATAAGCTTATAGGCCTCCCAGAAATGGTTTTCTCTGAGCGTGTTGCAAATAGTTCTAAAGATTTTTAGTGTGGCACTTCCCGGCTGCAAGCTGCAATGGCTAGTTAGAGAAAAAGTGTACTTCAGGTGATGGATAATCTCTTTTATAGAATTTAAGATACAATTTTCCACAGGTTTGTGTTTAGAATACATAGATTATATACGCATTATGGTGACTACTATAATTGAAAAATCACATTTCAGGGAGCGGTCAAACCGATTTTGGACCACAGCTCAAGTCTATGAATAAACAACTTTTCACAATTGTTGCTTGGGATCCTCGGGGATATGGACAGTCCATTCCTCCATCTCGAGACTTTCCTCCAGATTTCCTCGAGAGGGATGCAAAAGATGCTGTGGATCTTATGCAGGTAAACCTATTCTGAGATTTATTTTATATGTATATATGTGCTTGTGTATGTGTGTGTGTGTATATATATATATATATGTATATAAAGCTGTTTTCCTTAGATTTTGAGAAGGAAGAAAAGTACTGTTAAGCAGGTTGTTCCCAGCAGACAGCAAGTTATGCAGAAAAACATATAAATGAAGGCTTAAAAATGAGCAGATGCACATTATTCTGGAAAATACATTCTTCTTCCACCTCTTCTGCAAGATATGTAGAGGTTCAACAGTAGGAATTAATTATAAAGCAATATGGTTTTATTCCAAGACTCTGCTCTGAGAGCTTTGCAGCCTAGAACCATGTAAATTTAGGTAAAGTGTATATGAAAGCCAAAGTCTTTGCTAAGTGGTTTAACTGAAGGGATTACAGTGGTGAAAGGTTCTTAGAAAATTTTCCAGCTGATAGAATCTTGGCATTTTGCCCTAAGCAGCCCATTTCAAGAAACACTTGATTCTAAAAAATTAACTTGATGCTTTGTATTTTACAGTGTATTACTGAAATAATGTTTGTGGGAAATCAAAGGGTTCCTGTAACCGTACCAGAACTTAATAACTAATAAATACAGCTGTTGTGATTATATAGAATATGACTTAAGGCTGTTATTTCTTCTCCATCTTGCAGATTTTTTTAATTTCAAATTTGCATTTCTCCATTCCTCTTTTATTCTGTCCTATAAATGCCAACACTCTTCTCTGGTTTAGCTTTAACTAATATTTTGGCTCTGTTATATTAAGCTATACAGTCTCTTTGGCCATGTTAAGAAAGTTGGCAGAGCATTAAAATTCCAGAAATATGAGACAAGACTCAGACAGTCAATCCAGCTGTATTTCTGTAATAAGCAATAACCTTGCAGAAACCAATCTGAAATTGGAAATTCAGCCTTCCTGGAGTATTCTGCATAGCGAAACAAAGTAAGTCTGACAGCAGAAGCAGGCTTAAGACACAGTTTTGCCCTCTAACCATAAAAGCAATCTCTCTGCACTGTAAATCACAAATTTCTTATGCTATGCTAACAAAGAAAATAAAGATGCTGCCATGGACAGGTGACAAACTTTCAGTCTAACTGGCTGTAACCTCCTTTCCTGCCTCTGTCAGAATACTAATAAATGCAAAATAGAAAACAAAGCTCTCCTCAAACAGCAATGTAACCACCTAGCTTCCAGTCAAACAGGACAGCAGCCTACCAATCTCTAAAGCTGCCAAAACAAATGAGATGCAGCATCCTGTTTTTTTGAAGATGTTTAGTGATATAAGCATATAACCACAAGTTATTAACATTTTCCCAAGCATGCACAGCTTGCTTCAGTTCTAGTGTAACGTAAAGGGTGTCACAAATCCCAAGGCATCATCCCAAGTAGGATTCCCAGAATAAGACAAAGTCACAACTCCTGCAGAAGGCTTTATAATGACGTGTGGTCTACATACATCACCCGACCTACACTCGGTCAAAAGAAGCTCTCCCTGTAGGTGACCCTCCAGAACCTTTGCTCTAGGTTCCTTCCGATTCTGGTATCTCTGCTGGTGCTGCGAGGTTTCTGTAATTATCAACAGCTGAAATTCTCCAGAGTATTCGGCACCCTGATGCAGATGACACTGCTCTGTATCACTGTACGGGTTCTGTGGAGACATTTGCTTGAAATAAAAGGGGTGTAACGCAAATAAATCCACTTTGCTGCACTCCATCCCAGTGTCTGTTGCTAGCAAAGGCCAATTGCATTAAACAATCCTTATGGAAATAATAAGTGTTCATATTTAAGAGGCTCTTACACTTCAGAGCTACCGTCCTAGCAAAAGGATGAGCCTGGGCTTCTCCAAGTTTATTTAGAACTGTTGCAACCCTTTCTTGTGATATACTCCCTGTGATGCCCTGAAAGCATACAGTGCAGAGTGGTGTTGTGCTGCAACTCACCGTTGTACTCCTGTCACAGCCTGTGTGATCATTTGATCACATTTCACGTGGGCCTGGATGGAGGAGGTGATTTCAAAAGGGATTTCATTCACTTACAGGGTAAACCCAGTGCAAAAATCACCCACAGAACTGAGTTGTGCAACCAGCTCTCTGGTCATTGCCAAAGTGAGGTAGAGACCTGTCCTGTAAGTACTTCAAGATTAAAGAAAGCAAATATGCATACCCTACCCAACACACCTGTTACATCACATTGTTTCTCTGGAAGGCTGCAAAGGGTAAGTTAAATTCCTCCTGCTGGAAAGGCATCCTGAGACAACCCAAAGAGTGCATCGAGATAACGACTCGTAAACAAGAGAAATATTGAAGGCAAATAGATCTTATTTGAAACATTGGCAGATAACCTGGCACGAAGAACAAATATTTAAATCACCTATTCCACCCATCGGCCCACTTTGAGATCTGGAATTTTCTACTGGCAGTGGGGAAACAGCAGCAGCAGCAGCACCAGAAGTGTGAGATGTACAATCACTGCTGCCAACTCCTGAATCTTGCCAAGACACCAGTAACCCCCCAGCAGCACAGTATGGAAAGTTGGTCACAGACAACTACTTTTCCAGCAGATCGGGGCCAGCTTGTGATCAGCTGCTAAAATTCAAGGTTCTCTTTTCTTGCTGTTAGCTCTTAGTGTGTGCTTTTCTTTGCCCTACCTTATTTCTTTTCTGTTTAGTAATTTAGCGGAGTGAAATCTAATGCTGAGCAGCACTACAGTGAGACTTGTACTAAAAGAAGCCAAAATCAGAAAACCCTTATAGTGCTAGAAGCTTGCTAGGTATCAAGTTGACTGATCTAGAAACTGCTTTTTTTTCCTCTCTCTCTATAGTTGTTTCTCTCATTTTCTGCATTTTTGCTTTCTTCTGTCCAAAGAAAGCAGGCCTGGACTTCCAACACCAAAGCACCAAACCAACTCTTCCAACTAACTTGCTCTTTTTCTTCCAAAAGTACGGTATCTTACTGCGCACCCTGCCGTGGATGGTGGCATACGAGGAAACAAGGGTTTAAATTCTTGTGGAAAGCATTGTACAAGTCAGAATAAATTAAGGTCTTGGTTGTCATGTTTTTTGCCCTGAGCCTTCCTTATTGGAAGGAGGAATTTCATTATTAATGTTTTGAATTGCAGTTCACCGTAAAGTAACATTTAAAAGGTACGCTAAAAGCTTCAGAAAATGTGAATTAAGCACTAGAATTTGATACAGTCCTGTAGCAAATACTTTAAGCATTTCTTTTGTTGTAGGGCAGATTATTTTTTTTTAGATCAGCTAGCATCAGTAAATTAGAACATGTGTTCCATTTTTCAAGCCTTAAAAATTTTCTTTCCTTGAATTCGTCTTGGTCTTGGATTACCTACCATTCCACACTGTGATAATCTTTGTCAACCTTATACCAAGAGAATCCGCAGATCTGTGATACCATCAGGCTCTCTGGAAAGGTCTTTACTCTCCACTGTAAATAAAAATTTCCTAATTACAAGATGGCTTTTTTTTTTATGCAGCAAGAATCTAATGCGGCTACTGCCCCTTTCATTAAATAGTTGTATAAAATTGGAAAGGCAGGTATAATTTCTTGTCTTCTAAATATTTGACCTTTTCTTAAATATTTTTACATGTTGCAGGAAAATTTTGTTTTCTAATTATGAAACCTGACTATAGTTCAACTATGGAGTTCTGTGTCTAAATCTGTACTGATAGTTTTCTGGAAATACTTGATATTTCCTTGTAAACCAGCTGATGATTTGCATTCAACTTTCTTTGCACAAATGAAGGCACTGAAATTTAAGAAGTTCTCTTTGCTGGGGTGGAGTGATGGTGGAATTACAGCTCTCATCGCAGCCGCAAAGTATCCAACTCTCATCCACAAGCTGGTTGTCTGGGGAGCAAATGCCAGCGTTACTCAAGAGGATGTGAGAATTTATAATGGTATGTGCAAACTGAATATCATATCCTAAAAGAATTATTTTCATTTCTTCTTGACCTAAGGATCTTAGTCACGTAACAGCTAAGTGAAGACAGAGTTGGGGACACAATAAGCCGAAAGGGAGAGGACAGAAAATTCACCAAGTTGCTAAGTATAAGAATAGCTTAAAGTCATAGTGAGAAGTTCCCTAACAATTACTCCAAGGGTAGTATAAAACGGAATTTTAAAAACATCCTTACTAACTTACGCTGCTGAAAAGCTTAAGTTATAATAGCTTATCAGTAGCTTTCAGAAAGCAAAACCTTTGTTGCTGTAACAAGTTTTCTAAAAATAAATTGCGGCTAACACTACTGACACCAAGCTTGATTTCCTTTCTCACATCTTGCTCAACCTTTAGGCAAGGTCCACAAAAAAATCACTGGGCTAGCATGTAAAAAATTTTGACTCTAGGACCTATATAATAGACAAACAGTAGGAAAACAAGCTCATAACTCACCATTTGTGTTCGGGAAGCAAATGAATCATTCAGGCAAAAGTCCCAGGATGCCTTTCTAATTTACATTCTCTCAAAATAAATACTTCTGGTTACAAAACCTTTGCAAAGTAAAGAAATGTGGGATTTCTGATCTTTATTCCACTCACATGAAATAGAATCTGGCCAGTTGCTACTTTGCAGAAGAATAGTGAGGACTGCTAGTGGACTCATAAAGGGACCATGTCCCCTTTTGAAATTAGAAATTAAAAGAGTTAACCATGCAGGCTCTCAGCAAATGTAACCTGTTTCATGTAAGTGATTGGAATTTGATTTATACCACCTGTGAAATCTGACTGGCCTCAGCTAAATGACAAGTGTAAAGATTGCACATGTGTACTTGCCTCACCTATGCTAAAGTCCTTTCATTGGCAGTAGTACATCTTTTCATTCAATAAGCAAAACACTTTTTAGCTCCGTAAAAGTGCTTCTTTATTTCCCTAAATGCTTTTATATTTATGATTTTTTTCTTATATAATTGTGAAATGCATATCAGTACCAGCCAATGAGCTAAAATGTAGAGAAAAATGAAAAAAAAAAAAAGAAAGAGAAAAGCCTTTCTTTATATGGAGCACCCACAGCAATGCTGACCTTCAGCCTGTTCGTGGCTTAGTGTTTCCAACATCACTCTCTGGGCGATGGAGCTCGAGAGAGCAGCCGCACAAGTCTCCTGCAGCAGACCCAGCAGCGTGTCTCAGCTGCAGCGGAGGAGTTGGTAAGAGAAAAACGTGTTTATTTGTTATCTATGTCCTTTCAACACTGGCTTTTTCCCCTCCTCTTTTTGAATTAAGGGCAGCTGCAAGGGTAAAACCGAATTCTGTAAGGGAAACAGTTGTTCCGTAACAGCGAGCTTAGGGTGAGCAAACTCCTTGCCAATCCAATGCTGTTATGAAATACTTCCACTCACTGCTAGCTTGCTTATTTGGCTGGACAGGTTCTGTTTGTTAATTAACACCTCACTCCTTTCTTCCCTTAATTCCTATTTGAAATTAATTAAAAGCTTTGCTAGCAGCATATATTGCCTTTGGCTGATTTGGTACTTTTCAGGTTCTCTGCTATGCCTCCATCAGTTTGGGCTTTGTTGATACAAAGCTGCGCAGCTGAAATCTAGTTTAGGGAAAGTCACCATTATGGGTAACTGGTTCGTGAGCAGTACTGAAAATGTTAGGGGGGAAAAGCAGGTAAATCTGATAAATGAAGAACTAGAAATGTCAAACTATTTGTACAGCTTTAGCCAGCCTGACATGAGTCACAGGATTCTGCTAAACAGAGTTGCTTGTTTTTCTGTAAGACTATGGCAAACGTACCATGATGTCAGCCTGCTGGAATGCCTTAGTAAGAGCTTCCTTCTTCTGGACACTGGTAGGAGCCATGGAAGAACTCCCATCCATGAGCCAAAGCAAAAGGCTGAAGGACATAAAAAAAAGAACTGCTAGGTCTGGCACACTGCTATAAAACAGTTCCCTTCATATACACAAGGTATCTCCTTGAGAAACTCTAGCGCAAGCCCTCCAGAAAGAAGTATCACAAGTTTTAGGGCTCAATCCTTTGATTTTTCCTGGTTTTTCTTGTGACCATAACAACAAGATGGTCTTCTGCCACTTAGAAAGACCCCAGCGGAGATCACAGAACTACCCTTTCCATATTATGAATTATTTAAAACCATGAGTGCAGTTTCAAATTTGAAATAGCATCTGCGGTCTGGTTTGAAAACTTAACTCATATTAGGATTTGACAGTACTGGGTTATGTTTTGTTGCTGGAAAGAAATGGACACATTTTGATGTTATTTTACGTAGGCATCCGAGATGTTTCAAAATGGAGCGAAAAGGTCAAGAAACCACTGGAAGAGATGTATGGATATAAGTACTTAGCAAAAACCTGTGAGGCTTGGGTGGATGGAATATCTCGCTTTGCTGAAAAACCAGATGGTAAGGCTTTTACACTGTTAAACTGAAGGAATTATAGTAGCAGATAATTCTGGATAAAAAAAAAAATAATAAATCTAACAGTACTCCTAGCAGTCAGTAAAGGAGGGACTTTGCATATGGCATTAAAAGCTGGATCTGACTCACACTCATGAATAAAGCAATTAATTTGTAGATGATTCAGAGAATTAGCCAGGTACAGGAGGAAAACACATTTATGGGAAGCACTAGCTGATGAGTCTGTCCTCTTGTTCCACCACAAAACTATATTATTAAATCTTGCTTTTGTGCAGACTGAACAGGAGGGATTCTCCTCAAGCTTTTTTTTATTATTTTCAAAGAATTACCTCTTGGTGACATTTTTAAGATACTCCAAAAGTGAGATGTGTTCATTTCATTTTCTGCAAACAGGAGCTGAAGCACTACTTCAAACCTAGTAGAGTATCAGTGGAAAAAAAAAAAGGAAGTTCAGATTTTGACAACTCAAAAACACACACTTAAAAAACCACTATTGACACAGTCTAGGTGCTTAGAAATCCAAAATGAATAGTTAAACTAGACAATAGAATTATTAAATTTTTATCTCTGAAGTCTTCTGCAATTACTCTGCATAGACTTTCACAGTCAAGGGTACCATGAATAATAACCTCAGTTCCATTTTAATTCAGAGGAAAATTACTTTTAATTTGCCTAAAGCAGAAATACATAAACCAAGAAGTCTTTAATTCTCTTATACGTATTTTCCTGTGGCCTTCATAATGAAAAACAGGAAGGAACATACATTAACAGGCAGCGGGTACTACAAGGAAAACATTCCCACATTTTGTATTTTTCCCATAAAGCTTTGCATGGGACCAGCAACACAGTGCTAGAATTTCTCCCCATAGAGTGATGTAACAATTTATAATCTGATTTTATTTTACCCTATCTGCTTAAAACTAGTTTATTCTTAAGTCCAAAGGCTGGTGAAACTCTGGCTGTGACATCCTTTTACACCTTGCACGTGCCTCAGATGCTTTTGAGGTGGAGTGACTGTGAAGAAGCCACCTGGGGACACGTGGCAAGGAGCTGAATTACCTAGATGCTGTAACTGGGTCAGATAATGGGAGAAGCCTAACGTTTGCTAAAAAAAAGAAAGATGAGGAATCGTCAGACTGCAGGGTTTTTTTCCAGGAGCAGCTTGGGGAGGACAGCTAGGACTATAAGCAGGCTGCCTCACAATTCAAGTTAAGACATGCTGCATGAAAGCTGCAGATGGGGCAGGTACAAGAAAAGCAGTCAATAAAAACCTATCGGAGACAAAAGGAGCATGACAAAGCCTTTGTGGGTCAAAAACTCAACTCAAGCTCTTAAGAAACAAGACTATTTGCCCTAAATGAGAGCTTTTAGCATGAAACATTGTAAGAAATGAACTCTTAGAGGGTGCCAACACTTAATGAAACTAAGTTGCATAAAGCTGCAAAATTCAAGATTCTTCTTGCTGTTAGGTGTTTTTTGGAGTAAATATAGTAAATCTAGTGGTTATAACACAAACCAGTTTTAGGACTGGAAACTAGGAAGTAATAGTTTAGACTGCCAGCTATGTGTTTAAGTAAATAACCTGAATTTACTGGTTGCTTTTGATGAAAAATAGTCAACATTTGTGCAGGTGTTTGAGGACTGTGGGTGAAATGTTCTAAATGAAAATATTTAAGCAGTAGAACTGCAAACTGAGACTATTTAAGTTACATAAACAATTGGAAAAACTCTGTGAAACAGTGTAGGACTAGAGCAAAGGAAAGCATTTGTATATGAGCTTTAACTGAACAGCTGTTGGCAACTGCAGGGAGACAGCTACAAATAGGACAAAGTTAGTGCAGAGATAAATGAAACGTAAAACTCATGTATGCTTTGCCCAAAGATTCTCTTGTGAGAGCATGAGAAGTTAGACAAAGAGCTTGGAAAGTGGGTTAACTAAGGGATGAGGAGAAAATAAGGGAGGGGGAGGAATAGCAGAGTATTTAACGAAAAGCATTAAAATTACTGCTCGTGGGATTAAGGACTAGTAAGCGTAAAATTATTCTTGAGGTTCTGTAAGATGAATAGGTGAGAAGAATAACCTTTGAGTAGTTTTAGTACAATTTGTATTAAATGGTTATTCCTCCCAGACACTAAAGGATCTGGAAGGTGGAACAGGCATGAGTACAACCTAGAGTTAGGTTGTTGATAGGAGTAGCAAATCTTGTAAGCTGACAACCCATGTAACAGAAAGTAGCGTTAAGGTGAAGGCCGTTAAGGCTCTAAGGCTGAAAAGAACAAAGCTAGGAAAGGGACAGTATGTAGTTGCTTTGAACAGCCAAAGAGAGCCTGGGGGAAATGTGGGACAGAAGTACTTGGTTTGCTCTAGCCACTTGTGCTAGTATCCATTATTGAAGCAAATTTCAGTGAGGTAGCATTTTGGAGAAAGAAATATTAATTCTAGTCCTGATTACATGGTTCTGCAGATTAGTTGCTCACTATCCACAAGGAGAGGCAGTAGCTAGAACCCAGGGGAGTTCATGGTCCTTTGTGGAAGCAGCTTCAGTCTTTCATACTATTTTAAAACAAAGCGTGACCTTCATTTATTTTCTCCCTAGGTAGTATCTGCCAACAGCTGCTGCCAGATATTAAATGCCCCACATTTATAATTCATGGTGAGAAAGACCCTTTGGTTCCACAAGCTCATGCAGAATACATTCATAAGCACATCAAAGGCTCTCGGTAAGTTAGATGATGGAGTATTTATAAATCATTGCTGAAGAAATTAAGCAGTTCAAACCCACAGTGTATAAAAACAAAACAAAAAAGGAGAGCTACAATGAAAACTGTGTAGCTAGACCTTTCTTGTGATATAAAAAGTATATTTTAATAAGGTCCTTCCTAAATCCTCGGAGAGAAACCAGGTGAGATCCTTTTCCTCTTTCCACTTCACACTCAGATCTACTCCTAATATTTATCAAAACAAGTATATTTCTTCTATTTTCATTATGGCCACTGCATCCCTTTTGCTGCAAGAGCCCTCATTTCTGTCCCATTCAGTAGAGCAGTGAGCTTAGTGCTATGAATGAAGAGTCATGCACAGTTACTAGAGAAGCACAGGACACTGGCATTTGCTCTGCCTTGTTGATATGAACAATGTCAAAGACTTTGTTATTCTAACAACTGACCAGTGAATTCTCACTGGCTCTGAGGAAAGCAGAATGAAAAAAAAAGTATATATAGCTGTGCTCAGAAATACTACTTTGTAAACAAGAAAAATCTTGGGGCACCATCTGCTTCATTTGAAAAATTCCAGAAATGCTTCCTCGAAAAAGCTGGATTTTCCTCATAGATTTGCACACAAATTCAAGAGAACTATTAATACTTAAAAACAAACTGTGATGATTAACACTGGAGAAAAGAATCAGGAGAACAAACCCCGTTTTTATGAATGCAGCGTGTAAGGAACTGTCGAATTGCTGTAATCTGTGAAAAACTGAGTGGCATATTTATCCCAAAGTCAACCCTACTGTTCAGAGAAATACATTATGCCACAGGAAAGATGAGAACAGAAGACCTTCCCAACAGTCACATGCAGGTGTTTTATTCTGTGTCTGCTAGTTAGTTACTCCCACGTGCCCTGCTCAGAACACCTATCATCCTCTGAGGTTTCACCAAGCTCCGAAATGCTCCAGATGCTGACTAAGGCAAGTCATCACAGAAACCAGAGAAGGATCTGATAGTTTCTCTTTGGAAGACAAGCTGAGGAAGGAGACACTGTTAGAAGTTGCTATCCGATAAAATGTAAAGTGATTCTTTGCATGTCTTCATGCCGAAGGGTTCCCCTACATGTGTATTTCTCAGAAAAGAAATCAGACTAACGGGATTCTCTGAAACCAATACTTAGGTAAACAGTCCCCTTCTTCCCTTGCTGCACTGGAGATTACAGCTTCCAGTGTGAAACAGAAGGAAAAATCTTATATTCAGCGTATTTTTAGTAACACAAACTTCTACCATCAACTTGTCTTGCCTTCGTTTTTATCTAGTAGTCACAGAACAAGCTTTCGCAGATTGTAGTGCACATACATTGCTTGTTTCTCTCATAGTAAAAGAACATACCATCATTCTGTATTTGCATGGTGTGGCTAGAGTTAAACAGCATTACAGTGGTTTAACAGCAGTAGCTAACAGCATGCACAGTGCTATAGGTTTGTGCATCTCTGTGCTGTTTGGTCTTTGAAGAATCAGACTTAAAATTCAGACAGGAATGCTAAAAGAGCTGGGTTTGCCCCTCCCAAGAAAGAACATTTGCCACGATCAAAAGAAGAATTGCCCTTGCTGTAGTGGGGCTTAAAAGACATGAAGGCAACATAGCAAAGTATCAACCACGATGGCTTTAACTCTGTTGAAACTGCTTATTATGTGAATAAAAAATGTAGTACGTGGATAAAATAATAATGTCCCACCCCCACATTAAAAAGTTAGAAGTACATACCTGATGTATAAAGTTTTTTCCCAGATAGAAAGCAGCATTTCAGGCTTTTCACACTCGTATCAGTATTACAAAGGTTCAAGTTTCTTCACAGATACTACTTCTAAGCTTTTTTTATACCTGAAGAAGTCCTGACTTCCCTTGTTTGCTTTAAATGAGAGTGGCATTAGTTTCAGATTGCCTTTTTGCAGAAAGATTAGACAAAATTCAAAGATTAAGTTCACTTGTTGCCAAGAAACCTACATTTCTGTAGCTATCTCTTCAATGTGTTCGCTGCCCAGCACAACCACATTTCTCATAAAGAGGCAAAAGACTGTCACATACCTTTTGCAGCTGCATCCTGCTCACATCAGTTTTGGAGTCTTTTCTTCTTTGCAGGCCACCAGAAAGGTTCCTAGAAACTGGGTCTAGGATACAAAAATTTGTTTTACATTTAGTTTATTCTCCTCAAATTGTGGCAAGTAGTATGCCTGTTGAACCGGTTCAATATTCTGAACCATGTATCTGGGGACAATATTTAAAAAAAGCATTGCTCCAGTTCTGTACTTGAGTAACCAAGAGCAAGGAGGAAGCAACAAATATTTAATTACCTATTCTCACAGAATAAAAATGTATATTCAGTGTTTGATTATTTTTTCCTCTCTTTAAAGGTTTCTTCTGATGCCAGAAGCAAAGCATAATCTACACCTGCGTTTTGCAGAGGACTTCAACAGGCAAGTGGAAGATTTCCTACGCTGACTTAAACTGTAAAACAAGTTGGAGGTGTTTGTCCTTGACTTGCTTAGGAATTTAATTGGCCTTCCATTTTCATTCAAGTTGCAGCTAGGTTTGAGTCCTATAAGGAAAAACATGAAAGATATTTGTGCGAGAAGCATACCTTTTGAGAATATTTAAGCTTCAGTGGATTTGAGCACACCACTCTGCTGCAAGATCTCTGACGCGTCTTTAAGCTTCCTTCTTGCCACACAGCCTAAAGAGCTGTTCTATGCCCAATAAAGATGTTAAGAAAGACAGAAAACATGATCTAGAATACATGCCTTTATGTGCTCTTAACATTAAAGGACAAAAACATTGTAATAACTGGGTATCAGAATGGTTACACTGAGAAATCTGTCAGGTACAAGTGCCAAGGATAACTGGGTACAGAGTTTCTAGAAAACATGCTTCACCACCACAACCAGAAGTCATTCGGTACACATGCCTGCTTTACAGAAGTTCCTTTAATATCAG